TAAAATTGGGATTGAATTCAGTGAAAATGGCAGAAAATGATAACAAATTTAGACCACTTTTGAGGGGGTATGGCACTCGGAGGTTGAAGTCAAAGAAATTTTCTGGGGTGTGTTTTGCGAATTTAAAAATCTGTGTTAGCCAACCCATCTATAAACATTCATGAGTTTGCAGATAGATTAAGATATAATTTCAATTGGGGACAACATTTGTCATGTGAAAGAGAGTCAAGTTCAGAAAAATATATGGATTAATATATCCATTAGCTCATTGCAAGAATCTGAAATCTGTAGATGGAAAGCGGTTGAAATAAGGGATAATTTTTTATAGAAAAACAAACAGTAGGTCAAAAAACTGGATTGTAAAGCAGTGGGAAAACAAAGTACTGGAAGTAAAATTGATCGTTTTTTATTCAGTTATACCAGAGGTAATAATAAATTGTTAAGGCATAAAAATATTAAATGCAAATAATAGAGCGCCCTCTATAAGTAGGTTTGGGACATCAATAGTGTATGACATTCAAACAGGTAGGTGTGTCTGTATGCAATAGTGAGGTGCACCCTTGGATGCTTTCACTTTGTTTATTCAAATCACAGGTTAGCGATTTTAAAACAATCTATAATTGCAAATCATACCGTAATTATAATTATTTAACTATCTGATCACTGCACCTGTTTAACTTGTACATTCAAAAGTAAGTCTAAACTAGGATGTTTTGGAATAGTTTCACTTAAGAATGCTGTTTTGATATAATATACATTAACACAAAATTCAATGACTGAGATTCTTTACATGATATAACATTTATGAACGAGGTAATGGCAATATTTTTCAATGGATTACACAGGGATATAATATTTCCCGGACATGTATATGATAGGATAAATGTCAATAAAATATGGGTAGTTATGAAATGAAGTCACCAGTCAAAGCGATCCCAAAACCCCACGTTGTTGGAATTGAAATTTGAGGACCTTCCTGATTTCAGAATGTCTTCAAACATATTGGTTATATTGTTTCTTGTATCACTATTAAAGTTATGAATGTGAACCAACTACAGACTTGGTCTTGGGGCAATAACAGCAACTCAGGGCGAGTAATTCTTGCTATTATCCAATAAATCTACCAGTAACATCTGTGTGTAGTTGCGTGAGTATGTTGTACCTGGACATACTCAGGACTGACATGTATAGTTGGCTGAAGACCAGAATTTGATTAAACACATGCAGTATATTATGAGAAAATACTTCTATAGTCACTGTATTTACGGTGCTTTACGTCTAATTTTACAATTGTATTGCTACAAGATCATGCACTCTTTAAAAGGAATATAATTCAATAACTGTGATGAATAGCAATCAAAGTGGTCAAACCTCAGTTCACATCTAAATTTCAATTAGAGCATCAATTTCATTTTGGTACGTTCCCCACTACAGGATGTAGTTATTGTACCTCTTAAATTGCACATGTATGGATATAGTGAACATATTATACAAAGACTGTCCAATTTCATTCAAGTCAAGATCACTGCATATTCATATAATTGGTCAATTACACGAATTTAAGGTTATTATTAACAGATTTTCTTGTAATTCAAACAAATGTGACAGATAAGCACAGTTAGTTTACAGCCAATCAATTTCTTTCAAAAAATCAAGACAGATGATTCCATCATTATTTATTAAAATTGAATTACCTTAATTTTTTTATGACAAGATATTCACCGAAAATATATATACCGGTATATATATATATATACAAATAGTTTTTCTTGTTCTGTGTTTGTTTGAAATTGGCAGACTTTGAATCATAACACTTAATTTTAAAAACCAAACTAAGATGACAATCTAAATATAAAAACTAAACCTGCAATATAAGCTAGCAGTGTTCGTGAGATGACATTAACAACACGAATACATCTACCATTCGACCGTGTCAAATAACACAACACTCAAATAACCATTTGTCAACGATATTTACAAGTTGAATTCCAAATAACATCATTTTCATAAAATGAGAGTGGAATTTCCAAATCTTGATGCAGGTTCAACTCAATTTGAGAGCCCAGTTCACACATTATATATAAGTATAATAATTAAGTATAATATACTAATTAAGTATAATATCAACATTAGAGTATAATCAGTATGCATTCATATTTATATTGCCAAACTGCCATGTTGTTGGTTTCACTAAATGGAGAAACAAACATTTATATTTAACATCATAATACTTACACCAAACTCGGACACTAGCACATCTGTTATGCTGCCAACAACAGTGATGAAATCAAACACATTCCAACCTTCACGGAAATAATTCTGAATATTGAGCATAATAAAATGTTAGATCAATGAAATCTTTGAAAAAAATCCTGCATGATGAGGGTATTGGAGGCATAGAAATAGGGAAAATGTAGCTCTTCTCTTTGGGAAATAAAAAATATGAATACAATCTGATCCACAATACATGTATTGAAGTGCATAATAGTAAAAGAAATATTGAATGACATGTAATAAATGTGATTGTACATCTGTGGTCTGCAGTCATGTATGCACCAAGTTTAATGGAAATTTGATAAGTGGTTCCTGAGATTTCAGAAAGTTGCTTAATTTATGCAAATTAGGTAACTAATATGCACGATTCAACCTTGAATTAAACAGGTCTGTTGAATACCCTAGAGCTATGTACCTACATTTATGTACCTATGTATCAAGTTACATTTCAATTTGATGAGTGATCCTTGAGAAACAGCTAAAAATTGGCTATTTATTGTAAATTAGATAATTAATATGCATGATATCAATCATTTATGCATTATTGAAATTTGATTGAAAATTTTTGTGTGGTTCTTGAGATATCTTTAGAACTGTTGAAAATTTGGTAATTCTTATGCGAATTACTACCAAAAACTAATCAGGTCTGTGGATTATCTCAAACTATATATATAATACACACTTTTAAAATAAGCAAAAATACTAGCAAAAACAGCCATAGATAACACTAACCAGTTCTTTCAGACTCACTAATTAACATCAATATTTCTAGAAATGTATGTTTGTTTTGTGATTTTGCGATCATCTTAAGATAATTTAAAATTTGGACCTTCATCATGTATCACACCAATTGCATATCTTTACAGATATACAAGTAGATGAAAACAGATTGCGCACATGCACAGTTACAATGATACTTACCCTAGGACCAAATGCTAACTGCTTTAGTATACATTCTATGGTAAATGCTATTGTGAACCCGATATTCATATACTTTAATACATTGGTGTAGAATATTGGCTGTTGATAATACTGTCAAATAAAATAAAGAATAAATATTATAATGAAATACATTTAGTATAAGTATATATTAGCAAAATAGCTTTAAAATTAAAAGAGTACAGATAATATGAGAAGTGATTCCCATACAAAAAATGCTCGAAGCAGATGACTACTGTAGAATAATTTATTTTTGCTTGGAATTAATTTTTGCTTTTTTCGCTGAAGGAATAATTCAGTGAAAATAAAATTCAGTGAATATACATTTTTTTTATACTTTACATTCAACTTGTCAAAAATCAGTGAAAATACTTTCCATACAAAATACCCAAAAAGTCTATTCAGCAAAAATTAATTCCAGCTAAAATAAAGTATTTTCCAGTATGTTTATTTATTTATATTATATATTTGCTCAATTTAGTAGCAGAAGCATGTATACTTGCATAAATAAGTCAAGTATATTAATTATTTTGCCCTGTATATAGTGTATTCAACTATTGTATACTTAATGATACTACTATTGTACTTTTGGGCCCATAGTAAAAAAACAAACATACTATTATTTAAAAAAAAACAAGTAAAGTCCGTAAAGCCGATCCTGTCATATAATCAAAAAAACAATTAAAAACAAAACGTTTATGTTTGTGAGTGCTTCTAGCTATTTGTGGTGTAGATCAATAGTTACCACATGGGTTGATCTCATATTGAACATGACAATTTATGATGACCACCATCCTTCATAAATGTAAGTGTACAAATACAGGTATTTGCAAGTCTATGACTGAAGTATTGCGTCTACTTCAGGCACAAGCCTGGAGACACACAATATGCTGGCTGCCATGTATGCAACAGATAGAGAGCGGCTATACCTTTGATCATCAACAATAAGCAGCTTTAAGTTTTGTAATCAAATTGTTTACAATACATGAATGAAGTGTTATAGAGACCATTGTACCTCATCACTGTGGAATCCACACTGCACATGCTCAGTAACGTAATGACCAGAGAATATGAAACTAATAACAAAAACTGAAACCTTGAATTGAAACCTTACCTTCATCATCAGAATAATAGTGTTCAGGGCAATAAGTGTCATAATAAAATACTCAAACGCAGGAGATACCACCAGCTGCCAGATACGAAACTTGAGTGAATTCTTATTTGTGGGCATATATCGCTGTGTGGGTTTTGCATTTATGCAGAACTCGATACATGCTTTCTGAAAGTACAAGAAATTAAAATAATATGTATTCATTTCATTATCATTGTATCAGGAAAGACAATAGACTTGTTTATATTTATGGTCATTATTCTTAATTCCAATTGATGAGCTTTAACCTTTTCATACCAGACTTTTTCGCCCAAATTTTCTACATATTTTTCATATATATTCTTCAATATTTCTGGAAATGAACCTCGATTTTGGAGCCATTAGACAAAATTGTAGTCCGTTTTCGGTTTTAACTCAAAAAATTTGGCTATTTTTGTCCCAATCTTCTGAAGAGAAATGCAGACTATAAATGAAAATATAGTGTACAAGTAGTGACAGAAACAATTTTTTTTCTATTAAATTTAAAAGTTAACCCAAATGGGTTCTGTTTTCAGAACCACCAAGTCTGGAATATAATCTACATTTTCAGTCTGGAAAGGGGATCTCTACATACAGTACATGTGGTTGATAATCTTTGAAAATCAACAAAACGTATTTAAAAAACAAGCAAAAATAATCACTATTTTTTTTATTTAGTTTTTGCTATTCAGCGGGGAAAAATAAGAGAAAAATTAAGAAAAGCTAGTAAATTTTAGTACAATCAATAGTACAAAGGGGAATACATTTTTTGGAAAATTTAGTTAAAAAGGTATTTGCTTTTGGGTGTTTCAGAACAGCTATCCTATTAACTCAGAATGTGACAGTGAAATCTGAACAAATTGCACACACTTTATGAGACAAACATTCAATAAATAAGTCACCTGATTTTTATCGATATCCCCTTCTGCATATTCCTGTTCACCTTGCTCTTGGAAAGTGATAATAATCAAGGCAACAAAGATGTTCACAAAGAAGAATGGGAAAATAATGAAGAATACTACATAGTAGATTGCCATTTCCATGCGGTAATACGGTAACGGACCTTCTCCTTCATTAGTGGAATCCATTGAATTCTGTAAAATCCTGCAAAAATGAAAAATAAAAATTTGAAATAAGTTGTATTCACATATTTCTGTGGTAACAAGCTAAAGCAGATGATTAAACAGTCCTATTTAGAGACCATATTTGGAATTTTCATTTGCATAACTAGTTTCAGATTGGTTAGTGGACATTATGAATACTCGTCATGGCTATATTTGGAATAAATTTTTGCATAACTAATTTCAGATTGATCAGTGGACATTATAAATACTCGTCATGGCTATATTTGGAATAAATTTTTGCATAATTAGTTTTAGATTGGTTAGTGGACATTATAAATACTCGTCATGGCTATATTTGGAATAAATTTTTGCATAACTAATTTCAGATTAGTCAATGGACATTCTAAATACTCATGATGGCCATATTTGGAATTCTTTTTTGCAAAATTAGTTACAGATTGGCCAGTGGACAATATGAATACTCGTGGTCATATTTGGATTTCTCATTTGCACAAGTAATTTCAGATTGGTCAGTGGACATTATAAATACTCGTGATGGCCATATTTGGAATTCTTTTTTGCAAAATTAGTTACAGATTGGCCAGTGGACAATATGAATACTCGTGATGGTCATATTTGGATTTCTCATTTGCACAAGTAATTTCAGATTGGTCAGTGGACATTATAAATACTCGTGATGGCCATATTTGAAATTCTCATTTGCATAACTAGTTTCAGATTGGCCAGTGTGCATTATGAATACTCGTGATGGCCATATTTGGAATTACTTTTTGGATAACTAGTTACAGATTGTTAGTGGACATTATAAATATTCGTGAGGGCCATATTTGAAATTCTCATTTGCATAACTAGTTTCAGATTGGCCAGTGTGCATTATGAATACTCGTGATGGCCATATTTGGAATTACTTTTTGCAAAACTAGTTTGGATTAGTCAGTGGGTATTATGAATACCGGTACTCGTAATGGAATACATGTTTATTGTTAGCCATAATTGGAATTATTATTTGCAAAACTAGTTTCCAGTTGGTCAGTGGACATTATAAATACTCATGATAGAATACATGTTGGCCATATTTGGAATCCTTTTTTGCATGACTACAGTAGTTTAAGATTGGCTAGTGAACATTATGAATATTCATGACAGAATACATGTTGGTCATATTTGGAATTATTTTTTGCATAACTAGTTTAAGATTGGCTAGTGGAAATTATGAATACTTGTGATGGAATACATAATGGCCATTTTTGGAATTCGTTTTTGCATAACTACGGTAGTTTTAAATTGGCCTGCGAAAATTAGGAATGTTCATGATAGCTAGAATACATTATGGCCATATTTAGAATTTTTTCTTCGCAAATATTATTCAGAATGATCAGTGTATCATATAATAAAATATATTTAGCTATATATTGGGGAGTATGATGCATAAAGTGTGGCTGAAGAATATTTATGATGCAGTAATATCCAAATCCACCAAAAAGCAAACATTGACAGCAGCTGTCACATTCTGAAACCAAGACCTCCATATCAACTGCCCCATCTATTCTATTCTACAGCAGCCAGATGCTAACCAATACAATGGCAGAAAACTACATACCAATACTCAACACTGGTAATGCTAGAAAAAAAATAGATGCTACGGTCAAAATATAAGTGAAATATTATGAAATAAACCAATACTTGATAGCTGTGTCCAACATAAATACCCTATAAAAGGAGGTTGAAGAAGCTTGGTCAAGTTTTGGTTTACCCTGCCACCGCCACAATATTTCAAGCAAAAACTTTTTAAAAAACATTTTGCCTGATCTGTATGTTTATCTAAGTTAATATAAGTAAGTGCTTATATTAACTTTTTCACCACAAGTTCCCTCTTTTCATCACAAATTCAGAAAATAGTCCTATTTATAGTCAAAAATAACCAAATTTTTTGAATAAAAACTGAAAATTTTGTCTGTTGGCTTCACAATTAGGGTTAATTTCCGGAAATATTGAAGAATATAGGAAAAAAAGTGCAGAAAAATCTAAAAATTCTAAAAAGGTTAACTTAGATAAACATACATTGTGTACGATAGCGATGAAAAGGTACCAAAATGTACATAGATGTTTTAACCATGTAACATTACTTACTGAGGCCAACCTTCCCCAGTTGACACAACGAATAATGTCATCATGGCATTCATTACATTGTCGTAGTTGAAATCTCTTTTTTCCCATCTCCTGTCCTCTACATCAGTTATTCTGTGATCTTTATAAATAAAATACTGCCCCCTAAAAGAGACAAAAACAACAACAAAAATGTTGAGGTTGTAAATTGATACATTCTTTTTTACTGATTCAGAAATAAATCTCGTCCAAAACAAATAAAATACGTTTTGACAATGCAGTTATCATGTTCACCATGTACCAGTACATATAGATATACCAAAGGTCATCTGTATTCTAATTTTAATGCAGTATTACTTGAAGTAAATAGACTGACAAAATGTGGTGAGTATAATCACGCATGCAGATAAAAAAAAAATATCACCAGTCAGCTATTTTTGTTCAAATCTCAAAAAAAAATACAATGTGCACCTGTAACCCAGTATTGTTTGATTCTAAAGAAAAATTACATGTTGCAATTTTAGGATTTTAGACCACAAAAAAACGCAACCTATTTTAATTAATAATAATTAGTATACTGTAATATCTGTATTAGAAGCTGCGGCTTATATTAAAATGGTCGTATGCAACAGAGGGGATGCAGCTTCTATTAGAGCATCTACACATATGAGAAATGGTGAATTTTTGGTTCTCAATGGGTGTGACTTCTATTAGAGATGCGGCTTCTAATACAGATTTTACGATAGTACTTGTGTACAAACTTTCAACTGATATATTGATGAGGAATCAGTATAGACATGAATAAAAACATAAGCAGTCTGTAGGCTGATTTAGCTCTGCTATTTCAGATCGATAAGAAATAAAGAATATCAAATCAATCAAAACAACAAAGATGAATCAGTAGACCAATTGAATTTTGCCTCAATCAAAAAAATTTAAAAATCACAGACTCACCGACACTCATCCTGATTCCTTTTTGATTCATCATTGCAGTAGAAAAATCGACCTTTATAAAGCTGAACAGCTATTACAGCAAAGATTAGTTGGAACAATAAATAAACTATCAGAATGTTCAGTACATTCTTTAGTGAGTTGACTACACAATCAAAAACAGCCTGTCAAAACAAAAAATAACTATTAGTAATATCTTTTCTGAAAAATGATAACTTCATTGCCTTCTTGTGAAGAACTTTACCTTAGAAGACAGGAAAAAGTTATATATTATGAAAAATATATTTAACATTTGTTATTAAATAAATGTATATAAATAATATTAGTTTAAATGTGTTTATGCTGTGTATGTATTAAAAAATATACTGTCCAGTAGTCAGCTTTCTCTTTTGTTTTTCTATTTTAAATTTTCTAGATATACCAGGGAAAATTATAACTGGCAATGTCTGAGGACAAAATGCTGTAGAATGTTAAAATGAACGATAGATATTTAACATTCACAATAAAAATGTAAGCATTCCAATATTTAATCTGTATTACCTTGCAGGTTTGTTTTTTTTTGGACTGATTTATAATATTACAGGGCTGGGAAGCTTCCACAAAATGTTAAAATATGGTTCATATATGTGCAGTATTCTTCATGCTTTTTTTTTTGTTCTTTATCAATTTGACAGTTTTTTTGTCAATTTTGAAATTTGCCCTTGCCATGTTATTGGTGAATATTAAATTTATATACTATAGATCCTTATTAGTAGAACAGCAATGAGAGCTTTTCTATTTGGGATTGTTCATTTAAGGTTATTTACAAGCATTTGATATATTAAATACGAGCTAACAAAACTATGTTATTTTTGTTTTAAAATAATTATTGGTTTAGACACAAGTCATTGATTTTGGAAATACTTTTACCCAGTATTACCTATTTTTTTGGGGGGGGAGACTGTCTGAAATCATGCACAAATGGGCCTTTTTGGAACAACTTGCCTTGGAATTCATGTTGAAGCATTATTTCATAAAAATTAATAGTATTCCTCAGAATTTCTCCAGAATTTCGAGACAACTACCCGCCTTAACAACAAATGATTTATTCACTCTATATACCTGAATGAAATTTTGAGTTATGACAAGATATTTTAATCATAGAAACCAATGGTAAATCATCATTTTCCTGAGTGTGACACATTTTGGTGGGAAATATAGTTTGGTTACCAAAATTTATTATTTTGATTTGAGCAGCAGAAAATAAAGCCATATGGTAAAAGTCAACATTTTACCATCATTTTGGACCATACAAACAATTTCAGATATTGGTTTTAGTTTTTAATCAAAAGATTTGCCAATTTTTATAAACATTTTATGTGGAGAGAAGCATAAACTGTATAAAATAAATCTAGATGTTGCCAAAAGTTGACAAAGGGTTAATACATCTTCATGAAATGCGTCCAATAACAAAGTACAGGTATATTAGTAGAATAGGAATATAAATAAAAAATGAATCATGATCATAATCACAAGTGATCTACATGTACGAGCAATTGATGAGATAAAATCCATCTGTTTTTGTAAATTTATTTACCACATTCTGAGAAACAAAATACATTTCATTTCATTCTGCACTCTATTTTCCAAGCCCTCCGCACAAATAAACAGATGAATTAAAACTCGTCAAATACTACGTTACAATTAAGTATTAAAAACATGACAATTCCACAGCCAAACAAAAAAACAGTGAACATAGAAACAAATAAACAGATACAACATGCTCAGGAGAAAACAAGTCCATGTGTATTTCAGAAAAGAGATTTAAAAAAGTATGTTGCTGTGACAACATAATCTTTACATGTATTAAGAGAGAGATAAGAAAGAGGACAGTATCCATAGCAACACCTAGCAACAGTATGTGCATATAAATGTTTTGTATGTATGACAATTTACACAGAAGCCTCAGTATTTTTGACTTTTACAAAAGAGTCTTCTCTCAGGTTTGCCAAAATTGATGTTTGGTGCAATGAGTGCGAGTAATAGAAAGTGTTATGATCGTAGTACAACAGATATGATGGACTTGTTTTCTCACTTCTTTAGAATCGAGTTCCAGTTGTAGTTCCAAAAAAAAACTAAAGTGAGGGTTAGTGAAATGATGAAACCACACCGCAATGAAATGATTATTTTAGCATTTGGTTAGTTATGAACCACTTTGCTCCAAGCAATTGGTCTCACATGCTACTTACTTTTAACTTGGGAACTCTCTTGATTGTTTTGAGTGGCCTCAACACTCTTAGCACCCTCAGAGATTTGATAGTGTTGAGATTTTTACCAGCAGAAGATGAACCGTCTTCACCGTTGCTGTAAACATTGATTGAAACTTCACACATTAGACATTACAGAGGTCAACACAGGACTAGGACAGTTATACACAGTACATGTTGTACCGACTTACTTTCAACTTTGGAACTCTCTTGATTGTTTTGAGTGGCCTCAACACTCTTAGCACCCTCAGAGATTTGATAGTGTTGAGATTCTTGACAGAGGAATTGATATCACTGTGAAGGTATTAAAGTTATAGCAAACAGAAAGAACAAACCCAGGTAGAATAATATACAGCTAAGCAGAAGAACAGAAAACCTATTATTTCGAGGAATAGCCTCTTGGCCACATACGCCAAGAAAGAAATTCTGCTGATATTACAAGGTGCTCATAAAAACATTGCAAAATAAGCATGAAGGAAGTACAGACAGACAGACACAGAAATCATGCACTGCTGCAGTGCTTACATGTACTTTGTGGTATTCTTGTGATATATCTTTACCAGATTGTACTCAGTCAGAATTTGCAGCGTAAACATTTTACAAGGTTTGAGCCTGCCGATCCTTTACGTTAGTTACTAGCTTAAAAAATTAGATGTGTGTGACCTCATGCAGAAAATATTCATGCACAAAAAAAAGCCAAAAAAAAAAGCAAAAAGGAAGCTGAAAGTTTCGAAGAATATAACTTTCGTTGTCACCTCTCACAAGAATACCTACACAAGATTTATAAGAAACAACAGACAAATGAAGCCATTCAAACAATTCGATTTTGTAATTTTGCTATTTTTAATTTCAGTTTCAATATCTAATTTGTCAATCACCACCCCCTCCACATATACAAAATACTGAACAAAATTAATTTGTGAGGTTTCCATTTTGTTTACGTTGGATGTGTACCAGGATGTGTGACCTTTAGGGGTCATGAAAGTACCAGGATGTGTGACCTTTAGGGGTCATGAAAGTGGCCTATTGAAGATGATAGTTGAATTATGTACAAAGCTTACACCCATTATGTTACCATCGGTTACTCACCCTTGAAATGCAAAAGCAACTAGAGCACAAACAACAACAATGGCGTCCAGAATGTTCCAAATATCTCTGCAGTATGATCCTGGATGGAGAATTAAACCCAGAGATATAATCTTCATTGTCATTTCCAGTGCAAATATGGCAGTGAAGGCAAAATCAAAATATTCCAAAATCTGTAATTGAAAAAACAAAAACATGAAATCGTTGTTTTATATCAATGAGCAGACTGATGTTTAAAGCGGGAGGGTCGTCACCTGCCCACGCGCGGGAATTGAGTCCCAAGCGACGATAACAACACACGCTAAAAACGCAAAGGTTCATGGGCAGGCGCTTGTTTGTAAACAATGACACGCTATGGCCATCTGACGTATGCGCAGGTGACAGCTCCCCCGCTTTACAGTGGAGGGGTCGTCATCTGCACACACAGGGGAATTGAGTTTAAAGTGACGAAAATTTTTTCAACCTTATGTTTATTTTACTATTCATCTCACCACTCATACTATTATTTTCAGTATCATTGTTGGTTTCGATAGCAAAATTGACATATAATCAACATGACTTTTGCTACAAATTAAACAACATTTGCATTTCAATCTATATGTTGATTGCAACATGGTCATACAATCCGATTGGCTGACAGTTTTTTAAAACTACTGTAAAGTACCTAATTTTCGATATTTTTGCTGAAGTAATGATTCTGTGAAAATAAAATCCAGCGAATATACCTTTTTTCCTATATTTTACTATCAACTTGTCAAAAATCAGTGAAAATTAATTCCATACAAAACACCCAAAAAGTCTATTCAGTGAAAAGTAATTCCAGCTAAAATAAAGTATTTTACAGTATATGTTGATTGTAACATGGTCATACAATCTGATTGGCTGACAGTTTTTTAAAACTACTGTAAAATACTTTATTTTCGATATTTTCACTGAAGTAATGATTCAGTGAAAATATAATCCAGCGAATATCCCTTTTTTTTATTTTACATTCAACTTATCAAAAATCAGTGAAAATAAATTCCATACAAAACACATAAATAGTCTTTTCGGTGCAAATTAATTTCAGCTAAAATAAAGTATTTTACAGTAATTATTTAAAAATAGATTCACAATATATTTTGATTGATAACACAAGAAGAAAGATTCGGAAAATTTTCCACACTTTTTAAAATTGCCAAAATTTATTTTTTAGTGACTTTAATTTTTATAAACAGTTATTGTTTTTATCTTTTAATATCTTTATTCTAAATTCCCAACTGAAAATAAATATTATCAGTATTAATTTGTCTATACAATGGTAACCACTTGATACAAAAAAGTATCAGCAGACATGGAAATGAGAGAAAATAGAACACCAGTCCCAAAAATGAGTTCAGACACTGTTACAAACATATTAAGTGAAAGACATAGCAAACAGTATATTACAATGTAGCACTTACCTGATTTCGAAAATTATTTGGATCAACAGGATCTTCGGCAGCTAGAGCGATACTACTCATTGCGATAACAGCCATGATAAAAAACTCAAAGTAACGTAAACTGCATATATAATGAACACCTCGTCGAAATCTGTGGAAAAATATAAATTATAATATATATATATAATAATATAATATAATATAATATTATATAATATAATATAATATTATAATTATATTATAATATAAATATTAAGAATTGAGATACAAACCAAACTGCATTTACAGACTTCAACCTTTTCACTAACAGTTCCCTTTTTTCATCACAAATTCACAAAATATTCTGTTTATAGTCTGCACTCTCCTTCAGAAGATTCAGACAAAAATAGCCAAATTTTTTGAGTCAAAACTGAAAATTTACTCAAATTTTGTCTGCTGGTTCCAAAATTAAAGATTCATTTCCAGAATATTGAAGAATTTAAGAAAAAATTGCAGAAAAATGTGGGTAAGAAAGTCGGGTGGTAAACAACCAAATGTCAGGTTGAGTACATTCAATATATACTGTAAACTGAATGAAAATCAGTTTAATTTTGTAGCAGTGAAAATATTTCTGGCGTCCTATGACACAGAGTGTCAGTGTTTTTTCATGAATATTTGTTTTCATGAAGCCAATGTTTACTATATGTTGCATGGGACCCATTTCAAACATAGCACAGGCCTAAGCTGCATGGATTGAGACACACCTGTGACATTTAAACTTGCATCAATATTGATACTATCCTAAAAATAAACATAACATAACACAGGCCTTAACAACAATAAAAGTAAGTTTAATAAACATTCTGTAAACAATTATGTTAACAGCTTGCATGTACAAAATGTTCAAGTAAGGCTCAAGAGACAATACTTACGGATTGGTTGGACTGAAAATAAACAAAGAACTATATGGCACCATTGGTTTTGGTGCAAAAGGGTTATCTGAATCCTCTTCTTCTTCCCTTTCTGAAAGGTAATGATGAAATTTATTATGAAATATTTGTTTATGCCATCTATGCAAGATACATTTGTGGGGTTAGCCACAATCTATTTAGGAATGTATACGGTTGACTCAGTCATGAGAAATAGTTAACCATTTGATAGTTTTATTCCGAACACTAAGTGACATATAGTTTGTCATACCCTTGAGTAATATAGATTTCCATCAGTGAAGTGATTCACATCCAGAATGTTGTCTCCTGGATGTCTCTAATAACGAACTTATCTAACCGCAGGACAAAGTTCAGAAGTTTGGGCAAAAAACATCATACATGTATTTCTGAATTTATACCCTGACTCCACAAACATACCTTCATCCTCGAGTTCTGGATCCATTTCTTTTCCATCTCCATTTACTCTTTTCTCTTCTTTGGTGTCATAGTTTTCTATCACTTTGCCATCATGTGACTTCTCATCCTCACTGTCAACAAAAACAATAAGTACATAATAGTCAAAATGCATCTCTCTCAGCTAGTTCGAGACGCTGAATTGTTCGAGTTATGGACATCGAGTTACAAAAACATCAAGTTACAGAAATGACCACGCCCATATTTTTTGAAACCATGCACACTTTTGTGAAACCACACCCAAATTGTAACTTGATATTCAATTAACAGTTAACAGAACTTCGAGTTACAGGCAACATACATTTTGGTTTTTGTTGAATGTCCACATTTAGTAACTCAAACTTTAAATAACAGTTTTTTAACTTTCAAATTTTATTACTCAAACTTTAACCGAAGTTCGAGTTACGAACAACATAGAATTTCTTATTGTTTAATGTCCACATTCAGTAACTTGAATTTTAATTAACAGTTAACATAACTTAGAGTTACAGCAACGTAGATTGTCATTATTGTTCAAACATCCAGATATCGTCTTTCATTTTTGAGCACGCAATAAGTTTGTGCTTACGTAAATTACAGAAGTGTTTCCATGGTCAATATAAGAAATATATTAATGATTCAGTATATAATGTGTTTCTGTGCACTTCTAGTGAACTACTGGTAGTACTCAAATACTTTATTTTCGCTTAGAATTAATTTTCGCTATTTTCGCTGAAGGAGTGATTCAGTGAAAATAAAATCCAGCGAATTAACCTTTTTTCTTATATTATACATTCAACTCACCAAAAATCAGTGAAAATAAATTCCATACAAAACACCTAAAAAGTCTTTTCAGCGAAAATTAATTCCAGCTAAAATAAAGCATTTTACAGTAGAGCAAACAAGATATATTCATGTTTACATACATTGCCAAAGATTTGCTTGGAGTTGGAGATGGAGGAGAAATATTAACTGATGGATTGGACATGAACATTTCTTTATCTTTCTCCAGTCTCTCTTTATTAAGCTTATCTTGTTCTTCTTCGTCTTTCGTCAACTCTTGTGCATTGGCTAAGTTGTCCACAGCAATGGCAAGGAAGACGTTCAACAGGGTATCTGGTTAGCCTTGGGTCAAGGGTTATGTCAGCAATATTGATATTTGTCTCGTCAGCAGACCTTTCCGTACAAGGTGACCGAACGATTGTGAGTGATTCACTCAAACAAAATTTTGCTGAGGGAAGCTAAAAATAATTTGCCTCAAGCAGACTCATTTGAAATCACTCCCATAACTTGCCTCCTTGCTTTTAAATGAGCTTTACTGTCCAGCCATTTTGAAAAAGAAAGGAATGCTGTTGGTCAACTGATATGTTAAGTCAACTCCGCCACCACTGTAAACCATTCACTCTAAATAATGTACAACTATTTTCCTGATTGGTCATTTCAGTGATAGAAAGAAGTTAATAAAAATTGTTTTTTGAGCAATTTTACTAATTTTCACACATTCAATAGTTTTGATACCCCTCAGGTTTCTTGTAATTTATACTACTAAAATATTACAAATTCATACTTTGTTTGGCTTCATCAGTGTGTGTTTTATTCTCTTATTGGTAGAGGGTGCACAACTGCTTTCGCATTTGTGTACACTTTATTTATTTTATTTTTTTTGGCAATATTTAATCTAGTTTATATTACTGGGTGAGCAGTTGGCTGGGGGAATTGATCCCATTACCATTGTACCATGCCTTGATATTATTTAGAATCTTACAAAAGGATACAATTACCAAAAAGCACCAAGATAATGAAGTAAATGCTGTATATCATTCCCTCCTTTTTTACACCTCCCTGGGAACGAATGCCATCGTACATAACTACATTCCAATCTTCACCGGTTAAGATCTGTACAAATATAAATAATATTACATGTATTATAAATATGTCATCATATCACAATAAGTTGAAGCATGTCAGTATTGCATGAGATATCGGCGTCCTACCAGCAAATTCATAATATAGAATGATTGTGTGGTATTTCCAAAATGGCGGATGCTTTTGAAAACAAAGTTCTTAGCAAGAAACCTCCAATAATTTTTGCTCAGCTATGGGCTCCTTAACCAAACGGTTGGTTAGGAAAAATGTATGATAATATCATTATGAGTATACTGCAAAATAGGCACTCAGACAGTATGCGGTTGGATCAACCTCCAATACGTAACAGTCAAAACTTCCGCTGTATTGTTTCTGTGCATAATTTGCACACATACTTAAAGCGGGGGGGTTGTCACCTGCGCACGCGCGAGACTCAAACGATGATAACAACACACGCTAACAACGTAAAGGCTCATGGGTAGATGCTTGTTTGTAAACAATGACATGCTATGGATGCGCAGGTGACGACACCCCCACTTTAAATAAAAAAACAAACAAACTGACACACAATGAAAGTAATTAGAAAAGAATTTGTCATCTTGTGCCAACAGTGTCTGCCATGTCCACCCATGGAATGCCAAAGACATCTTTTGTCATTCATTAATGGAATCAACATACCTGAAATACAGTCATCAAGGCTACAGGAAATGTATCAAAATTATGTGGTGGTTTGCCCTCCGGGAAATTAAAACTGAAAATAGAAATAAATAAAGAAACTTTTAGAGAATTTAATACATACTTGATTTTTGTAATTGTGGTCAAACATGCTGTGATGGTTATTTAGTTTTGTTTAAACTTGAATTGTTGGTAATTTAGAAAAGTTTGCACAAATTTACATTTTTTTACTGAAAATGTTTTAACAATTGTTTCATATTTTATTGAAATATTTGATCAAGATCTGTAGGAAGATTTCCATTTCATCCAGAAACGAAAAATAGAAATATGCAAAATGTTGGACCAAAATTACACATTTCAATATATTCCCAGACTTGTTCACCAAATAAACTGTTCCTAGAAGTTGGACCCACTAGCAATAAAACGTTTCTATGGTGTAAAAATCTCCATCTTTCAAAGCGTGGATATTGTTTTCGATGTGTGATTGACAATTATTACTTAATTTCTGGAGAATAACAATTTTAAGTTTCTGGAGATTCCGGTATTATTAATGACAGACTACAATTGGTGCTCTGATACAATCATCTACTTCAATTCCATGTCACAGACACATTTCTTGCTAGAGGGCGCTATATAGGCAACTTGTAGGAAAGGTATAATTGTTATATACATGCAATGCATTCTGGGAAGATTGACATTTAAAAGGTTTAAAAAGTGTAGGCTAATTTATTCAATGAAGTTTACAAAAAAATTTCACATTCCCCTCCGCCTCCTCAAGTTATTTGTCTCTCGAAAAATAAAACAGCAGTCTCTGATATTGAATTCAAACCACAATTGGCATTACTATTCTTTGAAAGTAGCAAAACCTGGGTGTGGAGAGTTATACAATACCAACTAACTGCATTGTTAAAGCAACAATATACTTCTGTATACATGTATACGTCAGGCGTGTGAGCCAATCAAAATATATTTTCGCTCAAACAATAGCTTTAAAAACATCTATTTGTTTAGGTAACCAACAGTCCTTCATGGAAGCTGACATACGCTTTTCTCGTCTGTCAATATAGGGCTAAACTGTGGCAGCAGAAATTCTTTTTTTCAATCTGCGTGAATAACTTATTTTAATAAAACACAAATTAAATTCAAAAACAAATAACAACAATAGTTTCTGAATTAGATTTAAATATGTGATGATCGGCTCATAGCACGTCATATAGCATGTCATATAAACTTGCAATGCATTATGGGAGATGGTATATATATATGAAGCCTCATATACAGTAGCCCTGAAACTATATACTGTAAAATACTATATTTTAGCTGGAATTAATTTTCGCTGAAAAGACATTTTGATTATTTTTTGTATGGCATTTATTTGCACTGACTTTTGATGCATTGAAAGTAAAATATAGGAAAAAGGGTATTTTCATGACATTTTATTTTCATTGATTCATTCCTTCAGTGAAAATTCCAAATGAAATTAAAGTAAAGTACCGGTAGTTTACAGTATATATATCTGCACCTATGTAAGCCACAATAGGTCATTGTCTGTTTGAATGTCACTGCGGTTTAGCGTCAAAACAAATTAGGCATCCATTTTACTGTAATAATAATGATATAGAAAGGCAAAGATACAAAAAGACTGAAAATAGAACCCAGAAGTATTCACTAATATCATACACTTTACTCAAATGAGCAGATGTCCACTATAAAAAAAAATTTGCAAGCACTATATAACCATAAACAAAACACCACATAGCAACCAGTAATTAAAAAGAATCGTATGGTTCTAGACAGATAGAAATTTGGAAACGTAAAAGGCCGAGCAAACGCAAACATGGTTATCAAATAAAATAGTTTTTTCACAATCACATGCTGTGGTCATATTGGGAACCTGCCCTCATTAAGTCAATGTCAAGAAATTTTAAGAAAGTAAAAATATATAAAAAAAAAGAAAGAAACAAATAAGATTAAATTATATTATGATATGAATTTTATTCTGAAAAAGAAGAGATTTGTTTTTATAGAAAATACAGTTATGGTTAACTAATATGTTTTTTTTCACCTTTTCATCACCAGTTCCCCCTTTTCATCACAAATTAGTCCCATTTATAGTTATTTAAAGTGCAAACTTTCCTTCAGAGGATCGGGACAAAAATAGCCAAATTTTTTGTAGAAACTGAAAATTTACTCAAATTGTGTCTGATGACTCCAAAATTAGATTTCAAGAAATATTGAAGAATATTAGAAGAAAGTGCAGAAAAATTTGTGAGAAAAAGCCTGGTGGTGAAAAGGTTTAAAGATTGGTTAGTGGTTGATTCTGATTGTTTTGATATTAGGATTGATGAAATAATTCAATTACGTTGTCATAATGAGGGCAGATTACAAGTAATGACCTCAGTTCTCATACATATATATCACAATAATAATAATAAAAAAAAAAGAAATTTCAGATACAAATTGTATTGAATTGTTGCATGCAGAGTCACTCACTGGCCACCAAAGAGCTGCATCCCCAGTAATGCAAATATGAGGATGAACAAGAAGAGAAGAAACAGCAAACTGACAATCGAGCGCATACTACTTAACAATGACACCACGAGATTCCGTAAAGACTTCCAATGTCTGTAAGTTGTAATACATATATTATATTAGTATCACTGCATATTAGTATAATAGTGACTTTGTCTGTTATGGTTATGACTGAACAGGGATTCATTGACAACTTGGACTATGTTTGGTATTTATTTCCTCCAACATGTTTTCTGGGAAAACAGATACCAAAGCTGTCTGTTAATTTATTTACCGATACAGAAAGAAATACTGATTATAATTTGGGTATGGATTGATTTCCAATAAACTGCATTGAAATGATTACAAGACAGGAAGAAAAGTACAGATTGTGAACTCAAAGATAATATAAATGTCATAATTTTGTTGAAAAATAAACAAGTTCAGTCATAACACATGGGAACTTCACACAGCACAAAGCACTTTTCATATAAAAAACTTACCGTCCACCAAAAAACTCCATGCCAAGTAAGGCAAATATAACAACAAATAAAAATAGGAGAAATACAAGACTGACAATGGATACAATACTGTGATACAAGGATGCTATGAGGTTGCGCATATCAGTCCAATATCTAAATGAGAAAACAGATGGTAATACATACAGTGGTGGAAATAACGTGAAAATCCCTAACCCTAACTCTAACACTCACTTCCAGTTACCCAATTCATTTGTATATGCCCCCTCTAGATAACTATATATGTCCTTAGGAGGGGCATGAACAATTAAATGGGGAGTGCTGGAAGGTAGGGGTAGGGTTAGGGATGGGGGGTACAAATAGAACTCTTTCCAAAAATCAAACACACATAGACAGCTGTAATGACAATAGGCATCTAAATGAAACATGTGCATGGAGTTCATGAATGAAACAAAACAGGACAGGGAATGGAAGAATACTAACAATAATATGCTTTGCAGGTTTTACATAGAATGTTGTAGCGATCTATAAATACCCCCATATGAAAAAGAAAACATGATTACAATTGTTAAGTTTCTGGTTGCCACATTACTGAGCACACACCTGTAACAGAAAGAGGGTAGGTGACTTTATAACCTGTCGTTCGCGCACCGTTTTGCTCATTTTTTAGTTGAATAAACATACAATTTTATGTTTTTCTCAGGAGATATTTTACTAAAGCATGTACAGGTACCGAACTAATATAGTGTGCACGTACGAATGAAAAATATTTCAAAGTGGCCGTTTGTAACACAGAATCAACATGCTCAATGCAAAACAAACGCTGGTAATATTTTTTGCTTTTATTGAAGATGTAACTTTTAATGGATGGAATATTTGCACTGAAATTTAGATGGGAAAAATTCACTCTGGCACTTAAAGTGTTAAAAGAGCAAATACATGATTTTATTATATGATCAGTAACTCCTCAAACTCTCAAACTACAGTGCATTTCAAGAACGTATCGTAAACAAAGACAACTTTTCTATTTATTATTAGAATAAGCATGTACTTATATTTACAGTTCTGTTGCTATTTGACGACCATTCACATGGCAGTGTCAACTTTGTATAATGAGTTGAGGGTATAATTCAAACATTTACCAGATGATATTTTTCTTGAGGTAATGAAAAATGCAAAAACCCTTTCACTATACCTTAAAGATACTATCTGTAAATTCCCTGATTAAAAGTTGCGAGAAAATTGAAGTTATTATTTTGATATTTCTTTATTTTTTTCAGTTTTACTGTCTGTTTTTATTACATGTGTTTATTTATGTCTTGTTAATCTCTTTACCTTACTAAATCCTCTGATGATTTAGTTGTGTAATAAAGTTATTATTATAAAAAGGCTTCAAACTCCATTTTTTAATATGCAGATTTCTGCAGAGATGTAACCACACAGGCTTCAGTTTCGTATTTTAGACAGCCAATGTTTGAAAAGAGAAGAAGTAGGAGTAATAATTAGGGCTATCTTGGTATCCCTGTATGCATGCATTTCCGGAAAGTCACTGAGGACCAACATCGAATAGCATCAAATAGTCATACAAAGAAATTGTCATAAAAAAAAAACCTGCACATTACGATTCTAGAAGTGACACTGCTTCCAGTGGCAGATGAAGAATTTTGTTTTACCAATTCATTCAATGCACGAAAAATAAATCAATCAGAAAAAACAGACAAAGTTATACAAATTCTAAGAGCTTAGGGGGTACTCCATTCTGTATGCGTCCCTTAACTCAGTAATGTGGCAACAAGAGAACTTCATATTAATAACTATAACTGTCTAATTTTGATCATTTAAAGTGCAGTTGGTAACAAATTGATAATAAACTATGCACCAAACAGGTAGTTTTCAGCCCAAACATGTTGATTTTATCTAATTTAGGTATGATTGCCAATCAAGTGAGAAGCTAGAGCTAAATTAGCATACTAGCAGTATATAATGTAAATGCAATAATTATTCGTTGGTTTTTAATTTTGTTCATTTCATGAAAATAAAAAGTTTTACAGTATTATATATACCGGGTATATATACACATTACTTTCCCGTCGTGTATGATGACAAAAATAATGACTTACTTGGTAACTTTAAAAATTCTAAGCAATCTAAGTGCTCTTAGTACACTTAAACCAAAAGATGTATCTTTGTAGGCAGTCCAAATGACTTCAAATATACTACCAAAAATAACCTGTAGTTAAATAGTAAGAGAAAGTTACAATATGGCAGCACAAATAGTCTAACTTTTTCACAACCAGACTTTCTCACCTAAATTTGTCTGCACTTTTTTCTTATATTCTTCAATATTTCTAGAAATTAACCCTAATTTTGAAATCAACAGACAAAATACTCAAAAGATTTGTCTATTTTTGTCCCAATCTTCTGAAAGAAAGTGCAGAATTTTGTGAGTTTGTGATGAAAAGAGGGAACTGGTGGTAAAAAGGTTAAATGATAATAAATGTAGCTGGATTTTTGCATGATTCCTAAAGGCCCGAGTCTTCCTGGAAGGGGGAGAGAGTATAAATTTACTGCAATTCAATAAAAATATTGTAACAGTATTTTTAAAAGAAATCCCAAATTGAGGGCATGATATTTGAAATATCTGTGTTATATTTCCTGCCAATTATTGAAAAGGAATGTTCTGATTGGCCAATCAATATCATGTGACGTTCACTTATTATCAGAATGATGACTGGGCAGTGTATACAGATCAACACAATTTGAAAATACATAAAAATGTGCAAAACATTACTTTTTGATGGGAAAGAGTTAAAGGGGACTACATTTCACACAAGATGCTGTGATTACCAGTCAAGTCGTATTTTTTCCATGATTCATTTCTTGGTTTGCAGCATGTCCTATGCTCATTTATATCTGATATTTACCTTTTCTAAAACATTTTAATGGATTAACATGACTTGGGTTTTTGTAACTCAGAAAAGTTGCATCTGGAGTTACCATGGTTCAAAATGGGTAACAAAGGACCAGAAAAAACCTAATACTTACTACACAATCAAATTTATTAAAAGTTGATTTGAAATAAAGTTTTAGTCCAAGACCATACATCTTAATAAACATTTCACTCAAGAACAAGCCAAGAAAGATCCATTCTGCATATCCTATAATATAAACGACAAAGAAAATACATAAGTTCATTTAATCAGAATCAGAGCAGAACTGATAATGCAACATATTTCTCTTAAGATGTAGTTATCTATTGTAGGACCACACGATGGATCTAACAACAGTGACTAAGAAAGTACTATTAGCACATAAACAAATGCAATGGATTTATTCGATATTACAGAAACATTTCATTTTTTTTTTAAATATTCAACAAGAGTTTCTCAACAGCAACAATTATGTAGATTATGTAAAATACTTTATTTTAGCTGGAATTTATTTTCAACGAAAAGGCTTTTTTTGTGTTTTATATGGAAATTATTTTCACTGATTTTTGACGAGTTTAATGTAAAATATAGTGGAAATATTATATTTGCAGGATTTTATTTTCACTGAATCCTTCCTTCAGCAAAAATAGTGAAAATTAATTCCAAGCGAAAATAAAGTATTTTACAGTAAGGAAGACATTTTTTAAAGTAGGTTGCTAAATCTGTCATTTATAAATAGCTGACTAAATTTAGAAAAATCACTGAATTTTGCCAGTGCTTTATTTCATGATATTGCTTATTGTGTAATTTCGCAATTTCAAACCAAACTCATCAAAATAATTTCTATTATGCTGACCTGGTATGTGCAGATCTCAAAAATGGTAATTAACCCAACTATCAAACAATTGATTGGTCAACAGAAAATCTGCTTGTTATGGGAGTCTGACACACATGCACAAAGAGAACATCTCTAATGCTTGAGCACAAGTTTTTTAGATTTTTATATATACATGTACCAGTAATGAAACTGTTTTTAAGTGATATGAAATAGAAAAGCAAAAGTGATACTTACTTAAAAATTGTGAAAGCCAATCTGGCTGTGGATAGTGCTCAACTGCTGTACAAACTGTGTTTAGAAATACTAGAACTATAACGCCCCAATAAAAAGCTTGGGTCTTGACTGCGCGTCGCACCATAAAACGGAACCTTTTCTCAGCGTTTTTTAAACCAACACAATGCTGCTTTTGGTTTTTTTGCTTGTACTCAGCTTTCCCAGATTGCATATCTATGAACAAAAACATGTGTTATTATTCGGGTGTATG